GTGTGGGCCCCCCAGGCCTGTCCGTGTCCCCCATGGCCACTGGAGTGTGGGGGTGCAGTGGCCACCCAGACCTGTCCATGTTCCCCCATGGCCACTGGAGCATGGGGGTGCAGTGGCCACCCAGACCTGTCCGTGTTCCCCTTTCTGACTCTGTTCCCCTGTCTCTGCCCTCTCTGCAGGTGATGGCCAGAACTTGGTTACCGAGGACGTGACGGTGGTGGAGGGCGACGTGGCCACCATCAGCTGCCGAGTGAAGAACAGCGACGACTCGGTGATCCAGCTCCTCAACCCCAACAGACAGACCATTTATTTCCGAGATTTCAGACGTAAGTTTGTCTCGCCTCGTGTGATCACAGCCCTTCCCGCGCTCGGGAGGAGGCGTTTGCCGAGACCTCTTCTTTTAATGCAACGCCAGACACTTAAAGTTGAGTCAATTCTTTAGGGGGTGGATGAGACAGGCAATCATAATCTTTCTCCCTAATGGATACCTTGATGGTCCCCTTTAAAAGTCAGCCCGTCTTACTTTGCAATAGGAATTGATTGTAGTAATTCAGGGTGAATTGCAATTGAGCGCCAAATATTTAGCTGACACAAACAAATTGAGCGGGGCAGCGCGGAGGCGGCGCGGCATTCTCAGAGGCGATCTGTTTGGGGTGGAAGATGAAGGTTTCAGACAATCCGTGCTGCTCTGTAACCGAAAATACATCTCCCGTCACGGTCGTGCCCGGGGACTGACTCGGCCCTTGTTTTCGGCGGTGGCCGTGCCTGTGTTGGCTCCGTGTCGTGATCCAGGAGCAGAGATGTTGTGCAGACGTGGGTGTGAGGGTGCAGGCTGCGGTCAGGACCCCGGGGACGCTGGTCTGGATGTTTTCGGTAGCCCGTGGACCGGGTTGTGCGGTGGGAGGGGACACCACGTCTCCCGTGGCAGTCACAGAGCGTGTCCTCGCTCCGCAGCGCTGAAGGACAGCAGGTTCCAGCTGGTGAACTTCTCCAACAGCGAGCTGCGTGTGTCCCTGACCAACGTCTCCATCTCCGACGAGGGCAGGTACTTCTGCCAGCTCTACACCGACCCCCCGCAGGAGATCTACACCACCATCACCGTGCTGGGTAAGGACCGGGGGTGCCTGTGATCCCAGGGCTGTGGGGTCAGTGCGATGGGGCTCCCCACGGCGCAGCTCTGCAGGGATCCAGCACAGCGTGGGCCTGAATGAAACGGGTTAACGTGAACGCTTCCTAGCGCGGCAGAACTGTGCTGTGTGTGAACTTTGTGTTTTCGGTGATCAGCCTGCGCTGGTCGCAGACCGAACCTTTTCTTGCAAACGTGGGGATTTGAGAGATTGCTTTAATGACAAGCGACAGCATCCGTGCCATCTGTGGTCCTCCTAAAGGGCAGATCTGTCTCAGCACCGCCGCTGCTCCTCTGCCCTTGTGGAGACACGCAAGCTTTTGCACGTTTGTCGGCTGGGGTACACCGAGAGAAATCTCGGGCCCAGCTAATGGAAGTGATGGCTTCCTATTAATTCCGGCAAAAATGAGATTCCCGTGTGAAAGAACGCAGGATCTCTCATTTGACGTGGTGAGTTTGCTCGTTTGCAGAGCACAAGTGGGTTCAGCATCCCCCCTCTGACCCCCACCAAAATCCTGTCCCTTCCCTCGCTCCCTCAGGCCCTGCACGGGGCCTGTGCAGTTCCCAGTAACAGCGTTCCCAGTAAGAGCAGCTCCTGCAGACCAGCAGCAGTTTAAACACCCTGTTAATGGGAGAAATTGAGTCACCGAGGGTGACTTAATGCAATGCCTCACTCGCTGATTAGTTTAAATCTCCCTTCCTTTACTTAATGAGATTTGGGTCTTAGGTTTTTATAGGTTGTTTAAATAACGTCCATAAGCAGTCCCACTATAGCTGTGGCGTTTACCAGCATCTTGAAGGTTTTAGTGCGCTTTGTGGTGTTCCTGGGAACAGGAGGCTCTGCTCCAGCTCTCCTCTCCTCACACCCACAGAAATACTTGGTGGGGTTTCATTCCACCCCTAACGATGCCGTTTGTGCGCAGGGACGGTGCCGTGACGCTGAGGACGCCCCTCTCCTGTCCTCGTGGCATTGACTCCCTCATTAGGGGTTAAAACGAGCCAGAGGAGGGGTCCCGGAGCGGGCTGCGTCTGAAGCCCCATCCAAGAGCACTTTGCTGCTCGTGACCCCCTTTGCAGGGGGATCGGGTGGGAGCTTGGCATTGGCCTTCGCGGTGCGCGTCCCCCTCTGCCGTGCGCTTCAACGTCTGCTGCGCCGCGAGACGGAGACGTGTTCGCGCTTAATTGGAACATGCGGAAATGTGAAATGTGTAGCCCGTTCTGTTCTTTTTAGAGAAAAGCCACAAGTGACTAATTAGTCCATTTGATCATCTGGATGGTATTTATACATATTTGTTCTTCATTAGCTCAAAGACGTGTTAGTCACATTTGAACCGTGCAGTCGCTTAATCATACTGATCAGAGATGGTTGGGTTTCCTCTGCAAGTTCTGGGTTTTTCTGAGGCTGCAGCTCTGCTGCACCAGCTCTTGACGCGCATCTTCTGCTGTGGTTTGGCTTTGCTTTTTGCTGCTCACGAGGGATTCCTTGTTCCTGCATTGGGATTTTCCAGCCCGTGTCCCAGCTCCGGGCCGTGCCGCAGTGGTGGTGATCCCTGAATTCCCAGTACTCCCAGTTGTTTTCCATCCCGTGTATCGTTACCAAGCGCATGTGGTGTTGTCTCCTTCCTTGCAGTCCCGCCACGCAATTTGGTGATCGACATCCAGAAAGAGATCGCCGTGGAGGGCGAGGAGATCGAGCTGAACTGCACCGCCATGGCCAGCAGACCAGCCACCACCATCCATGCCCAGCAGCCCAGCCACCACCATCCGATGGTTCAAGGGCAACAAGGAGCTCACCGGTACCTGCATCCTCGCGCGCTTGCTGCTCTCAGACCGCGGAGGCGGTTTCTGTAGCGCTGGGCGTTTGTTCTGTGCTGTCGCTTTGAGGAAAAGCAAGGAACGAGAAGCAGCGGCTGCTGCTGTGCCCGGCAGCGCAGGAAC